GGCCAAAGCATGACAAACCAGGTCATGGAGGCAAGCACACGTTGTGGAGGATAGAGGTTAGGAATGTGGTATGGGGCTGGCTAAGGTAATTAGAACAGTAGAAAGCAAGAATGTAGTCCATTAAAACAAACCAAACATTTTAAAGTGCCTAAGGAGTTCAGTATAAAAATCTGAACCAGTAGTTCACAGTGATGTTTAGAAGACATCCTCTATGGAGACTAATACTTTCCTAAGACAGACACCTGCCTTTCTAGAAACATTCTTCTAATATTTCAGGATTTCCTTCCTGAAAGTCCTCTCTGATCTTACTCCAACATATGTTTGGAGTTCTGTATCTAAATGGCCTCTCCGTTCTCAAGCCTTGTCTATAGGAGAAGGTTCTACCACTCTAGTTTAAGTTTCAAACCAAGCATGGGTAGATTAACAAAATCCCACATAGGTGGATGAACACTTTCATTTAAGAGACTGATGCTATGTAGCTGAACCATCAACAGTAAATGTCATTTCCCCATTCTCACAGCTAGTTAGACCTCTGAAAGGAAAACAATGAGCTTCAGACCTACAGCACCCTGCTTTTTCAAAAGAGCTTACAGAAAAAGAAGCATACTCTTCTCTACAGGCATCAAATGCATTCAATTGGATAAACAAAGTTTAGGTGCTTATCACATTTAACTGAACTATCACAAGACAGTAAGATGGACTGAAGGCTTCTTTCCTTTTTCTATTCTGACTGTAAACACTAGCATTATTTATAAAACTTGGCAACCCCTAGATACCATAAGATCCCAGAATAACACTGTCATTGCCATGACTGAAACATTCATCATTAGAGATTAAGGAGAAAGGCAAATTTTCACAATTCAGCACTTTCATCTGTTTTCTTATTCAAATTTCACTCTGTTCCACAGCAACAGAACTGCTAGTGTACTGGATTTGATTTTATATATACCTATAAAAAGATATAGAGCTGCAGAGAAATGCAGCAAGTGAACATATCCATTGAAAAAATTTCTTTGAGGAAGCTTTAAGATTAATGAGAAAGCTGACTTTCATTTATCCTCTAAAAAAATTAAGCAATATTAAAAACCTTTGGAAGCATATAAGATCTGCACTTTGGTCAGTGTACTGTGTGCACAGCCTGATAAGCCTCAGTGGGTTTACTTTTAACTAGAACTACAAACTGCACACATAAACAAGCACAATACCATCAAAACCTCTCAAAAAAGATAACTGACAGTTAATTCTGTTTAAAGATTTAAATTTAGATTTTTATCCAATGATTCAACATCTAGTACTTTCTGTGGAAGAAACATATGAATTACTGTTATTTGTACTTTAAAGCATTCACAGCAAAATTAACCACAGGAAAAAGGTCCTTGAAGGAACACAGCCCTGGGCTCATTTTCCATTTAATACCTACCATGCACATCTGCATACACACAACTGAATGTGCATAAGGAATTTTTACCTACTTTAAGATATGTACAATTTGTGCAACGTTGCTTATTTTGATGGCAATATTCTTATTTAACTGAAAATGAATAAGAGTTCTTGAAGTCACCAACCAGGTTTACATAAAATTAAATCAGGCATGTACTTCATCCTATTTTTTAAGGCCTTCCGATTAAAGAGGGATAGTGTCTTTTACATTCAACTTCACAGTGGTATTTATTACTCTTCCACTGTGTCATGGGTTTAGGCCCAGACAGCAAAGCACCACGTGGCCGCCTGATCACTCCTCCCTGCTATAGGATAGGGAGAAAAAAAAAGGATCATGGATCGAGACAAGGACAGGGAGCGATCAGTCACCAGTTATAAGCAATAATGTTGATGTTGAACAGGATTAGATCCAGTATTGACCCCTGGGGTATGTCACTAGTTACTGGCCTCCACCAGAGAGCAAACCAGACTTGACTTGGGGAAGAAAAATATCAGTTTAACTTGGTCCCAATCAAACCAGAGACCACGGTGACCCTCCATGGCTGCAGGGGCACAGCCTGCCCTCTCGCCATGGGCTGCAGGGGAACCTCTGCTCCGGCCCACCTCCTCCCCACTTTTCCAAGCTGACCATGGCATCTGCCATCCCACTCCTCTCTACACTGCAGATTCTCTTTGTTTTCCCCTCTTAAATATGTTAGTGACAGAGGTGATGACTGGCTTAGCTGTGGCCAGAGGTGGGTCTGACTTGGAGCTAGGGTAGCTTCTCACAGGAGCCACCCCTGTAGCCCCTTCCCCACTACCAAAACCCCCCAGAGCACACAAAATCAGCAGAGTCTAGTATTTATCAATATCTGCATAATGTATTTCTTGCTTCAAATGGGAGGAAAGGATGGCAGAGTGGATAGGAAGATGTAGAAACTTCTGTCCCTTAGCTAGTTGTTACATATTGCTGTTCAAAAGCTGCTTTATGTAAAACATCAAAAAAATGCTTCTTGCATAAAAGAAAAGGTCAATGATTTGTTTTCATTTTAGCTACATTCAGAACAAATTTGAAGTCAAGGGGAAAAAAATGAGATGGTAACTGCATTACAGAAGTTCGGTTGTGAAAGAAGAAAGGTACATAGAACTGATTTTGGGTCTTGTTCTACATCTGGGGTTTTTTAGATAAAATTAAGTTCCCCAGAATAGCTCTTCGAGCAGAAAATTATGGATTAGGCATACAATTCTGCTGTATGTGTTTAGTAAAACAAAGACACGTGCTTATTTTGTGGAAAGAGAACCCACTGACATTTTTATGTCACAAAAGAAATAACTATGTTCTTTGGAAAACGAGGCTGCTGGGGGGGCTTTAACTAGGTGATCTTTAAGATCCCTTCCAACCCAAACCATTCTATGATTCTATGATTTCCTGGCATAACCTCAAAGTGACTTCATGCAAAATAGAGAAACCGTTGAAGTATGGGCTGGATGAGCAGTCAGGGGGACTAAAACCTGCTGAGTGGCCAGGCCCAGAGCAGGGTGATCAGTGGCACACTGGTGGAGGCCAGTAACTAGTGACATACCCCAGGGGTCAATACTGGATCTAATCCTGTTCAACATCAACATTATTGCTCAGGATGATGAGGCAGAGTGCACCCTCAGCAAGTTTGCAGATGACACCAAGCTGGGAGAAGTGGCTGATATGGCAGAGGGCTGTGCTGCCATCCAGAGGGACATAAACACCCTGCAGAAACGGGTTGTCAGGAACCTCATGAAGTTCATCGAGGAGAACTGAAAAGTCTAGCACCTGGAGGAGAATAAACCCATGCACCAGTACATGCTGGGGCCACCAAGCCACAGAGCAGCTTGGCAGGAAAGGACGTTTGGGACACCAGCTTGAACATAAGCCAGCAGTGTGTCTTCATGGGAAGGAGGGCTAATGGTATCCTGGCTGCATTAGATACACTACCAGCAGGTCAAGGGAGGTGATCCTTCTCCTCTACTTTGCACTGGTGAGGCCACACCTGGAGTACTGTGTCCAGTTCTGGTCTTCCCAGTACAAGAGAGACATGGATGTACGGGAGAGAGTCCAGTGTAGGTCCATGAAGATGACGAGCATCTCTTGTGATGAAAGGCTGAGAAAGCTGGGACTGTTCTGCCTAGAGAGAAGGCAGCATCTGCAGGGTGAAGGAGGAAGGTTCTCAATCTATCTAAGTATCTGTAGGGAGGGTGTAAAGAGAAATCCAGACTCTCTTCTGCGGTGCCCAGTGACAGGACCAGAGGCAATGACCACAAACAGAAACACAGGACGTTCCACCTGAACATCAGGAAACACTTTTCAGAGTTGGAGTGACTGGGCACAGGTTTCTCAGAGAGGCTGTGTAGTCTCCACACCTTGGAGATACTCAAGAGCTGCCCTGGGCATGGTCCTGGAAACTACTTCTAGGAGGCCTTGACGAGCAAGGGGGTTAGACTGGATGATCTCCAGAGGTCCCTTCCAGCCTTGGGCATTCAGTGATTCTGTGAAAATAAAAGTACTTCCAAACAACCAGAAATGCACACCCGGGGTTTCTGGTAGTGTCACACACACAAGTGCAACCTAACAAGTTCCCTCCATTCTCAACTTTAAAAAAAAAAAAAAAAAAGCAGGTAAAAAAGGCCTTCCACAGACTAGACATGGGTAAGGGAGCAAAAACCACACAAAATAAAAACGGGATTTGTAGATTAACACTCCTAATCCTACAAGAGGGCCTGGACTTGTCTGTGAAAAATTTGAAAAATCTGCACATGCCTTTTTTGACGGACTGGGTCACAAGAAATATGTAAACATGTTTTCCATGCTGGAAAACCTATGGCAGAGCAGGGTAAGTATTCAAAACCTGTATATTAGGAAGCCCTCAGAGTTGCATTCTCAGAAAAAATATATTAAGGGAGCTGTTATGGATCAATGCTCTGAAATCCAGTTTTATTTATTCGCTGCTAGTATGCTGATGCCTCTTAGGAATAATAGGTGGAAGTATCAAAAACAACAGTTTTTACTTGCTCAGACCTCAACACCGGTTTCTGTTCTAAAAAACATAGCAAAAAACCAGAACATACAGCCTCTTGGTTCTGTTTAACAGATTTTGTTATGCAAATCAAATTATAATTAGAGATTAACTCCCTTGTTAGAGATTTACTTAGTGAAGATTTTATACCCTATTCATCAGGAAGCCATGTGTTCATATGGGATTTTAAAATCATCTTTCTAGAAGTGATCTGCATAATTTTCAGATGCAGTATGTAAATACAATTGCGGCAACACGCATTAAAATCCTCCTCGTAAAGCCTAATCACATTCCCACACACCATGTTATTACACCAAAGACCAGAGCAAGTTAGCAGGCTCAGTTGTGTGTTATTCGTGATTCTCATGCTTTATTTCTAACTAGAATCCTGACTAACTTGCATGTCACTCTAGAACACAGGTAACTTGAAAACAGAAGAATGTAAATAGCCTTTCAACTTAAGAATAAAACAAGGAGAAATCCCAGCAGCCTTATAAAGGTAGCCTAATAACAATGTTTTGTGTTTTTTCATAAAGCCTGTTTCAGTCCCTGACTGCTGGCAGAATACTGTATTACCTAATGTAAAAATATGAAAAAGCACAATATCAAAACACCGCTATGTTAGAAGTCACTCGCTTTCTACCCAAAATATCTCACACATGCTCATAAATTCTTTCTGTAAATTCTCCTCTCTGCTACATCACTGTATAAACTCTAGCCTGTGACAAGTAAGATTCCATTAGAGTAAAATCAGGAATTGAGAGACTTTTCAATCAAGTCCATCCATCCTAAGGAAAAACACTTGTTTGCTACAGTATGTTTTTTATGACTGTAACAAAGCCAGCTCCCAATTCATTAGACTTGGTTAGATATTCAATTCTACATCCAAGTGTTAGGTTCGTATTCAGTTCTCAATCTGCAGACAGAATAGGCAGAAACACTTGCCACAGAAACTCGACTGCAAACACTGAAGAATCCCGAGTATTTCATAAACAGAAAAATTACAAACCACTAATCACCACATGCATTTTTACAGCACTTATTGAGAAGTATCCAGATGCTCGTGAGCCTCTCAGCTTTGTATTACAGTTGTGTTTTGTCATTCTACCAGTACACATACTTAAGGTGCTGAAGTAAGCAACTCAGGACTAAGGAGGTAGACAAATTAAAAACCAATGCTGGTAGACAAATTCTTTAAGTCATATGCAAAAAGACTTAAGTATATCTTTTTCAAAAACTAACATTCAGTACCTTTTTAAATTTTCCTTGTCGCTTTGCTGCAGACTGCCCCTGGGAGTTAGAATAACATACTGTAAGAAAACATGCACACACCACACAGGATGGAGACACCTTCTCTTGTACAATTACGGTTATACTGTCAACCTACAGGTTTTTAAACCTCTAGAGAGTCACATCTATGACCAAACATGCTCTTAAAGCATGCTCTCTCCAGTTTTAAAAATTAATGAAACAATGCATTATTGTATATACAGTCCGTTATTCCTGTAAGACAAGCAAGTGTTGTTAACCACTTAGCTTAAGTTAATACATTACAGAAATTCAGCCTCAAAAGTGTAGATTTTAGATTTCGACTGTTTACCGGTATTGTTCTATTTCATAATAAATATACAGAAATTAGATACATTTTCCCTCATATTGCATCTACTTGCTGACCTAAAGACAACTTTGCTGCCTAGTCCTCCTTTTTGCCTCCTGGTACATAATGAGGTTCCTGAAGGCAGCAGAAAGTGTCTGATGCTACTTGATACTACCCTTTTTCTACTGAAATATGACCGTAACAGTAATGCCTTAGACTACAACATGTGACACACCTCAGCTAGAATTTCTCCCTGTGTAAGCTCTGAAGTATTCCTCATCATGTGAAAGTTGACAGGCAATACCTCCTACTTCCCACCTCAGAATTCACTATATATAATGACAGTCTGTTTTTAAAGCAAGACAGAAGAGAATTACAACTAATAGTTCAAGGAAGTGCAGAATTCAAGATAGGGAAACTATACTATATCACTGTAATAGATTTACCGTGGATTTCATAACAGTATACTTGCAAGCTTGCAGGAATCAAAGAAATATAAACCTAAATATTTTAGAGTTCTTAGTTACTGGGTTTTTCCTCATTGATACATAATTCTCCTGACAGATATTCTCCAACCTGCAGTTACATGCAATCTGTCCCAAAAGTACTACCTACAACTAAATCAGACTGAATGAACTAAACTTTTCTACTCCACAAGATCTAAAGGTATGTGCCCATCGACTCACAGAAACTTGCTTTCTATGAAAACATACTCCAGTTTTATACATGTTGTTCAACCACATCTGTGGCTGATGTGGATATGTGGACATAGATGAACTACTTCTAAATACTAACAGTCATCAAGATCGATTCAAATCTATTCTGAGCTTTGCCATCCATTTACAAACAGTTAAGGGAATCTCCTAAATACGTTAGCACCAGATACACACACGAGTGTCTGGTTTCTACAAACTACATGTTCATACAGGTTAGCAAACAGCTTTCACAGCATGCTGCATTATGAGCCAAAAAACCAAACCCCTACAGCTTTATTTTTTCTAGCATCACATACAGAGATCTTGCATCATTCTGTTGGAGCATACAGTCTATTAGTGGTTGACAACATCAGTGTGCAGCCAGTAAGAATATCTGCTTATGCATCTGAGTCAGCAAAATTCCTACTACGTTGTAACAGTAACATGTAGAAAAAAAGAAGGCACGTATTTTTGCTGAAAACTGTATGCATGCAAGGAAGAGTATAGCTATTCATTAGGGAGCCAACATGCACTAAACAATATATATGCAATTATTCTTCATTCAAAAATCATACTAAGCTCAGCAATTACAAAAAAGCACTTTTAAAGACTCCAAACCAACAAAAAAGCAGTTGCTTCTAGAAATACAAGGATTCAGAGTGAAAGAATTCGAATTCAAAATTAGAAAATGGAATTAAATCTGAAATAAGATGAAAATAAGACCAGAACTACTTAGCAGTTACTTTGACTTTATAATGAAACAACTGCTTCTAAAATGTGTTGTTACCAAACCTAGTGCTCTTTAAAGTACTAAGACCATGAAATACAGCACTTCCTGGCATGCCATTTACTTCCTTCAGAAGTTTCAAAAAAAGAAGCCGTCATCCATTTCAAATACTCACAGCTTTCTTTCCAAGTTCTGTTTTAGACAATGTAAGAGCTCCTGCAAGGTAACATCCTGGTCCTGCTCCTTTAGGTATTCTGTTCAAAGGGAGAAAGCTCAGTGTTAAAGCCAGGTCCATTAATGTCCCATGGGGACCACAATAAAGAACCCAGATGGTCAAAGAGAAACACAAGGAATTGCCAAGCCTAAACAGGTCGACACTATCAAAGTATCATTTTAGTTAGTTAGGTGCAGAGGCAGCTGGTTAGAGGTAGGTGAGAAAAACAGGACTTCAGCAACTTACTTGTCATCAGGCAGAGATGTAACAAAGAACGGCTGACTGTGTTTCGGTGGTAATATCAAACTATTGGATTTCTTCTTCCCTAAGAGAGCAAGGCTATGGTTTTCGTAAATATCTAAGCTCAAGGTACTAGACAACCTGTGAGAAACAATAAATGGAAGGTCTTTGATGCGATCCAGCTCGCTGTTCTGTTCATGACGAATTTGTAACCGAATAGTATAATCTCCTTTTTCCAGTTTCACAGAATACTGAAAGAAAAAAGTTCTCATAAATGTCAAGATTCAATACTTCACCATGCACAAAGAAACCCAGAAATAAGACTCATGTTCTTCTTGATCCATATAGCTCTAGCATATTTTAAATGGCTAGGTGGCTCAGTTTTGGAATCTCCTGAAAACAGAGTGCTTTCAAGGCTGGATAGCAGCCAAAACACATTGGTTTTTTTCACATTGACTGAAAAAACACTAATTTTTCCGATGACAAAACAGGCTGACATCATTCGTTCCTATGCTAACACTGTATTATCTGCTCAAATAATAACCAGAATCCTTGCCAAACTTTCAGCTCAAAACCTCTAGCAAGTTTGCCTTGATACATTTTCGGTTTCGTATGTAACTTCGGGTGCTCTGCGTTTTAGATCACAGGACATCACCTACTGTCTCAAACACTGTACCAGCTTCCACACTGAGCGACCCTGTGAAATTTAAGGCTGCAATTAAAAGAGCTGACACACTCTTTGCCCTGAGCTTTTTATGTATTCAGTTAGTGATATGCAGATAATATCAACTCCATTTATTAAAAGCAAAAACCAAAACACACCTCTCCCTCCCAGCCCAAAAAACACCAATCGAAACAAAAAGACTCTCAGGTACTTGGTTTTGAAAACATTACTTCATTTCTATCAGCCTAAAAAGAGCACTATGTGGATGTTTTGAGCAGTAGCATGCTAAGTTTCCTTTCTGCTGCTGCTATAACACAAAAGGCAACCCTAAATAGAAAGGAACAATAATTCAGAACTACCCTGCTTCCAGAATCTACTTCTGTGATGCACAACACTAAGATTTAGGGCATGGTAGTCCACCAGGTTAACAGAATACTCGTACTCCGGTGATTTTTAGATTTTGTAGCACCGTACAAAGTCAGGTGAAGGACTGGGAGTTTAAATAATACAACTTCTGAAATTCATTCATGAGATTCAAGTGACATGCGTTAAAGATGATCTTTTGTATACTTCCAGAATGATCAATCTATCAGAATAAACATCACATTGATGAACTCCAACCGTCATTTTGGTTTAGAAAATAGAAAAAAAATACAGAAAATGTTTCTCTTATGCATTTTAATTTTTTTTTATTCCTCTCCTCTAGCATGATCCAGATACACTGTTCCAGGAGAAAGAGATTCCCACAGAGGGTGCAACATCCACAAGTCTTGTGCAAAAAAACCTCCCTCCGAAAGACAGCAACAGGAAGTAAACCATGCTACCACATTTAAAAGGCTGTTTGAAGACATCAACGGGACTGAAGACAGCCTTTATGGATACAGAAGCCTCTGGTCTATCAGCAGACAAGTCAGACCACAGAAAAAATAATGGCTTGTTGCCAGCCCAAAGAGACAATTCACAGTGTCATCTTCATAGAAAACCCAAACATAAAGACAATAAGAACTTGACTTCACTTCTTGAGAAGCACCGGTCAAAAATCACAAGAAATCAAGTTAACAGCTTTTTGTAGAAATAAAACACACCACAACTCTTTCTCCTTCCTTGGAAGTGGAAAAAACCCAATAATGTTGCATTATCATGGAAACAAACCTGTCAATCTACTCTTTTTTTTTTTTTCCCCCCATACAGATATCTCACTACTGAACCTGTCTTCTTGTGAAGATATAAGAACTTTATACCTATGGATCAGGAAATGTTAGGAGCTAACAGCAGGCCTGGGAGGTTAAAAAGAATGAAAACCTTCATGTCGTGCAGAAAACAAAGTAAAATAAATAAATTACTCTATACCTGATGTGGATAGGCATCTCCTGAACCCATCTGTCTTTTGTTTTGGTCAAAAATAATCCACAGTTGACTATCAAATTCGGATTCGTACAACAATTCACAAAGAAGCGGACAGCTTGGTGTTACTTCTCCACTCTTAGGCTGTTAAAAGAAAGGTCAAAACATTTAACTAACTATTGAATAAAACAAGTACAATCCTCACATACATATTCAAAAGGTTACCCGAACTAAAGCCCATTTCAAGCGACAGTAGCTCCTAAAGAGAAACAAATCTGAATTTTGACTGTAAGGAGTCTACAGTGTGAGTCTAGATCTCATTTATGACAGAAAGCTACAGATAAAATCTGATTTTAGAAAACATGCTGTATTTATCAATGGCTTTTAAAAGATACAACCACCTATAATCCTTACCTGATGGAAGTTATAGGTCAAAATCATCTCGTACAGTTGACGATTATTTGGTAAAATGTCTCTGGAGCCCAAAGGTTTTATTTTTGCACTCACGGGTCTGCAGTTAAACAAAAACAACAACAGAAGGCACCATTAGAAAACCTGTATCCTCCATCAAAATTTTGCCTTGCTTGAGCAGAAGCATATTGTGAAGTACAACTGAATTCAGCACATGCAACAAAATCTCTTAAAAATATTGTAAATATCCAAAGGAGCATAAATTCCTCAGTTAAAATGAGTGTCAGTTCAAACTCAAGGGTTAGTGACGTTACAGACACTGCCAAAGAATTAAGCCAACAGAGCTTAGCATGCACATCTAGATACTCAAAATTAAAGGCTATAAATTAAAATTAAAGAAAAAGGGAAAACTATCACATTTCAGCATTAGGAAAAAAAACCATCAGGTCCCTTTACATCTTTAGTACCCATGCTGCAATCAGCACTTTTATTCATAGACTGAAAGATTAATGGCACCATAATCAGAGGACAGAAAAAACAGTTGGTAATTGTTTATTATAAAAGGATGTATCAGAGGATAATTTGTAAGAGGCCTTACAGAAGTCATAGTAGTACCACAAAAGTACGTGAACATATGCTACATGTGTAGTAGGTACGTATGTACGTACATATGCAGTGTATGTTAAGTGAGATACAGTCAGGACAAGCTACTGTTCAGAGCAGCACAAACACTTCAGACCCTAAGCATCAAAGAATAAGGCTAAATAATGATACAGGAAAATCAGCAATTCAGAAATACAGAACAGCAGAATGAGGGCAGCCTGGCGTCGTTTAAGTTTATTAAAGGTTGTCAGAATATATGAATGTAATATTACATGATCAAAATTTTTTTGCAAGATCCTCTCAGCTCTCTCACTGCCAAGAGCACAGACTAGTCACTCAGTGAAATATCTGTGCTGGGTCAGGCCACCGGTCCATTTAACCCAGGTTTCCTAGTCTGGCAGCCACCAGATGGATGCTGACAGAAGAATTAAGCAGAGAGTAATATCATACCTGATACTTCTCTCTACCAGTCACCCTGCCTCCAAACATTTGAAACTCAAGAGACCAAATATGGAAGACTTTGGATTACTGATCACTGTGAAATTGCCTGACCTGTCCTAAAGTACTGCTTAAACCGTATGGCATTTCTTTCTCCTCCTGAAGTGACCAACTTCAGTCATTGTTGAATTGCTTAGGAATTTTCCAACAAAGCTTTTCCTCCAAATCAGCATGTGTCAAACTGACAAGACAAACACAACCTTCTACATAAAATTCTGCACCACAGCCTACAAAAACACTTCCAACCAAGCAAGAGAGAGAAGACAATCCTTCCCATGTCAAAATTGGGACAGCTCTGAAGCAGCTGCTTAAAAAAAAAAATCCCAAAATAACAAACAGTAGCATCAAATAATTCTACAGTTTGTTTCTTTAAATATTACAGTGCATTTTAGCTCTGTCTCCTTCAGAAGCAATGGAATATTTTGTAATTTTTTAAAAACATTCTCTTAAGGAAAATAATTTGCATGGAAAAAAGTCACCATCATTCTCAAATTTTGTTGAAGGTAAAAGGAACCAAAAAGGAGAATGCTGAGAAATATTAATTGATGCTTCCAAACATAATAAAAATTTTACAAGAATATTGTTATCCTAAAATTCACTGTTAACTTGTTACTGTTTTAACCACATACTAATGCAAGGAACTATTGGAGAGGATCCAGCACAGGGCCACTAAGATGAAGGGCCTGGAGCACCTTCCACATGAGGAAAGGCTGAGAGAGCTGGGTCTGTTCAGCTTGGAGAGGAGGAGGCTGAGGGGGGATCTTATCAGTGCTTATCAATATCCAAAGGGTGGGTGTCAGGAAGATAGGGCCAGGCTCTTCTCAGTGGTGCCCAGTGACAGGACTAGGGGCAGTGGCCATAAACTGGAAAACAGAAGGTTCAACCTGACCATGAGGAAACCCTTCTTCCCTGTGAGGGTGACAGAGCCCTGGAACAGGCTGCCCAGAGAGGGAGTGGAGTCTCCTTCTCTGGAGACTTTCAAAAGCCGCCTGGACTTGTTCCTGTGGGATCTACTCCAGGTGATCCTGCTCTGGCAGGGGGGTTGGACTAGATGATCTCTAGACATCCCTTCCAACCCTTTCCATTCAGCGAATCTGTAATAGTTTTCACACTTCCCCAGCACAGTTTCTCAGAAACTCTACCTGAGCGTTTGAACCCAGCTTTTCAGATTTATGCATGGAGCGATGTCTTCATACTTCAACAGGGACTCGACATCAAATCGTACGATGCCTTCTGAAGCATGCTAAAGAAAGAGTATATAACAATTATGCTTCTGTGCACTCACAATATCAGATGTGGACCATACAACACAAGCTATAAGAAATCATACTGCATGAGTTTGAAAGTGTCACCACGTTATCTCTTCTACAACAGCAGATAAACTGGGACTTGCATAACTTTAGAAGTTGGACCTAAAGTCTTATTTATCCCCCTCCCCCCCAGTAATTCAAGTACTTTGTACAGAACTGCGCAAGTCACACTCTGGGCAGCGCTGGGTTTTGTTTGTGCTTTTGTGATGACTTCCGTTGAATATGTAATTCAATAAAAACAAGTATTATTCATGAAGAACCTTAAAGCAAGTATTTTATGGTGCTGCTGCTTAGGATTAATCCCACAGAACAGTTAAACTTTTTCAAAAAGAAACACATACACAGGCTAGTGATGGGCAAAGTAATTTGAAGACTTATTTTTCTAGCAGTCTCCCATGACAAAACCACCAGTATAGCAGCACTATTGAAATTTATTTTATGGAAGTTAGAGGAGCTCAAGAAGGAAGGGCAAAACTGTTTGTAGTCTCCCATTTTTAATTCTCCATTAATCAGTTGATGTAATCCTGCAGGGGTGGGGGAGCTCTTTCTTTTCCTGCTCTACTGGTTTAAGACCTGGCACCTCAGCACAATGCACCCACCCTTTTTTCCCCAGTTTATTCAGCTCTTAGAGCCTGAATACATTCAAATTCACTCATGGCTATAATTTGCTTTGGATCTCAGATGAAAAAAAAAAAAAAAAAAAGAAGTCAGGATTAATTAGCATGGGGCTGCTTCATGTTAAGGATTGCCACATCAGTTCTCAACAAGAGCCCGCTCCTGAGGGAGGTAAAGCCAAGCTAAGCCAGGTTTCACGGGATAGCAAAGAACACAGGGGCAAGACCAAGTACTGTAAATATTATAATGCTTTTAATAACTTCAACACTTTAGTATCACAGAGCCTTAAGAATCACAACACTGCCCATTCACTGTGCCTTCAACTGCCCTAAACAATGACTCTCAAACCAATCAGCCCATCTCAATAAAACACTGAACAGAAAATAAATTTCAATGGCATGTTTTTCTGAAAATGGTATTGAGAGTATTGTCTTTTAGCAATGGTAGCCTAGATATTCAAGTTCAAGAACTGTGGTCCCAGAAAGTTTATTCTCACAAATAGCTGCTAGTGAAGTATAGTTACAATTTCAGCTTTTTAGTGTGTCCTTTCTACTGGTCTTGGGTTTGGTTGTTTGGTTGGTTGGTTTGGTTTTGGGTTTCTCCCCCTACTGATTTATAATGAAAAGGCATAGAAAAATTAATAAATAATAGTAATGGGCATATCTGTGGGACTGAACTCCTATATTAAGAGAAAATATGAATATCTGATGTATAAAGAAACTTTTAGTCCTTCTAAATACAAGCAGGCATAAAAAAAGTTTTTTAATTCTGAGATACCACAGGATTTCAGAATAAAAATAAACACTCTGGGAAACTTACCATGTTTAGCTGAGGAGTAGCACAAAGTACACCATGGAAAGAAATAGTGTAATTGATGCTAACATCGCTAAGGCTTGCCCACCACCGAGCAACACAGAATTCAATGGTTTTTCCAGCCTGAGTAACAAAACCACGAAGTTAGATACAAGCTCCCATCTTCCCCTACATTGCACCCCAGCCTCCCTCATTCTAAGCCAAAAAACTGGGAGTATAGCTCAAAAAGACCTTGTTACATCCAGGTTATTCCAATTGCATATGTTTGTACAGTATCAAGCCATTATACTTGGTCCAGAAAATACAAGATAGTTCCAACAAAACAGGATGACTGACAACTGCCTCTAAACAAAGAATGCCTGGGGTATATTGTACAGAGAACGGTACAACTTTTAAATATTACATCTTCCTTCCCTATCCTTCAAACCAAGCAGGTTAGTTCATAGATGAATTTAATGTGTGCACTAGAAAATGTGTATCAGAAAAAGATCTCACTGCTTAAATAACATGACAATAAGCTTAAGGGTTTTTTTCCTCTTGGTTGTGGGTCTTCTTTTGTTTTTATTTTTTTTTCTTAACTAACATGATAAAATTCACAATATGCCAAAGGGATAAAGTAAGCTTAAGGTCTTACTTAAGCTTACCTTAAGGGTAAAGGACTGAATAGCATAGAAATCATAACCACTCTTAGGCTTTAGAGCTATACAACTAAGCTAAGCAAGGCAGGGGACAAACTTCAGAAGTGGACTCTAGTATCCACACCCCTGAACTGTTAGCTTACTCCTTAGTTCTCTTTTGGACTCCTGAACTAGGATTATCCAAGCAAAGCCTGCTGTATCTAAAGCAGTAAGAATGTAAGCCAGTCAGTATTCACCTGGCTTCAACATCAAGGAGATGACCCAGATTACCACATAAGCACTAAAACTACATTTATCCAACAGGTCACAGCCCTTGTTCGAAAGGGAAACAAACTGGCTTGTATAAACAATTACCAACGAATTGAAGAGATTAACACATATTATAAGGGTAATACTAAATAATTAAGACACACTTGTGAGCTATTGGAGATCTTTTCAAAACTGAAAAACAGATCCATTCACTACTTTAATAAAGGCATAGTTGCTTGGGTTTGGGGTTTTTCTTTGGAAAAGAAATCCAGAATGAGTTACGTTATAGCGCACTGATATATTACTTTCTCTTTTTTCTCCCATGCCACTCAAAGGCAACTTACTAAGACAGGAAATGCTTCAGTCACTGATCCTTTTTCTGGTAAGGAGGAAAATTTGTAGAACTCGTGACTTCTATATGCTTTTTGTTTCACTAGCTGAACAGCATGAAGCACAAACTTGGCAGTCACATCAGCTGAACACGAACATACGGTCACTTCTAGATTAAAGAAAAAAATTAAATTTAGTTTCAGGAGTCAAGAATTTTAGAAGGAAAACAGAGATTCACCAGAAAAAAACTAGTTTCAAAAATAATTGTAATTTAAGACGCTATGCAGTACACCAAGTGGGCTCCATATGTGAATAACGCCTATATATGTTATTTGCAGAGAGCCTTTCAAGTTATGGAAAACTAGCTAAATTCAGAGACCAGTTATGAGAAATACAACTCAAACAAACGGAGAAAGTTAATCAGATAGTATGATCTGTAGAGACAGACTGCGGCTGAATTCCCAACTAAGAGTTTTATCACTAATTTCAGTCTAAATGAAAGATTGTTGAAAGGACTGTTATTCAGTGATCTCACACAGGAAGATGAAAAAACAATTTTTTTTCCTCCTTGCAGAATTATGAGTCACTTGCCCACTATGAAAACCACATTTTCCTCCAATAAGACATCTATCAACCCTACACACATAAAAACTAGGAAAACCTCAGTCAGTAGTACTTTCCCATAAACATGAGATATTCCTCCAGTTATGGGCAACTTGCCGGTTTCTAGAAGACTGAGCATCAGGATTCGACTATAACAGAAACCATGAGACAACTCGAAATCACTCTTCTGAGTGTTAAAGTCAAATATTTTATGTATTCATGGGTCAAATCATTCAGTTGTCATTCAGGCAGAACTCAAAATGATTTCAAGACAACTTTGTCAAGTCTGACAGATGCAATCTTTTTTACTGAATTAATGTGGGGTTTTTTTAATGAATTAATGTGTTTTTTTTTTTTTTTACTGAACTAATGTGGTTATTTTCCTTACCAGCCCATGTAGCACCCTGTGGAACATCAATGAAGTGCCTTCGGATCTGACCAGGTTTAAAATGAACATCTGTGTATGTCAGGTCATAGCTTGATGATTCATCTACTCTGTATGTCAAAAAGAAAACAAACTGTAATCAAAGAAGCTGTGAAGCCCCTCTCCGCCCTTTTTTTTTTTAAGAAAGTATTTTTACATGCAAAAATACTCTCAAAAAAGCATACAATGAGGACATTCAGTCCTCAGCACCATTTTTTTTTTAATCCATACTAGTACAGAAACTGACAGCCCAATGTATGTAACAGATTCAACACATCAGCTCCGCCACATTATGTAGACACCCTCCCCACCTCCTCAGAGTTACCGTGCTTAAACATAAGTATCAAAGAATCCTAGTTTTCATAGAATCTGCTTTTCCTTGCTGAGCAACTTCCCACTAAAGTGAGCTAAGATACATAAGGAGTAATATTTTGATGAATAAAGTTTTTCCTCCTTTTTTTCCTCAGGGCAGACTGTCCATATGTTCAGTAAGATACTCTCCTTCCTTAACAACACCACTGAAGCCACACATTTAAACCAATTGTGGGCACAATACTAACTCTAAATTTGCTGTATTAAGGTTGTGATAGAAGCTTATCCTAATTTTCACCTGCTAAATAATGCCACGTGCCTTTATGTACTCTAGTCCAGCAGTTAGAAATGAAAAAACTAACTGCAGTTGACTGACACCTATGCGTATATTGACTAATATTTTGGTCAACAAGCCATCTGTATTCTGATGGATCAGAAAGCTGCTGCCACTGTGGCCAAGCTCACCAGAACAGACTGTGTCCTGCCTGCCAGGAACAAAAATTACAGGAGAACCACTGCTGTATAAGTCTGCTGCAAGAATCTTTTCAGACCTCTGTTCCCTTATGAATGTTAGTGGTAAGTTCAAGGACGCTCAGAGAACGAAGGTGGTGAAACAAATGACAAGTAAAGCGGGTCCAGAAACCTAAACTTTAAAAATGCGGATAAAGCCTGGGTTCACTGACCTTGTTGGTATAACAACAGTTACTGGAACTCTGAACAGAGGGCCTGCATTAGGCATTGCTGTATCATAACCACACACCTGAAAAAAATTAAACCCAGTCACTTGAAATCTTTGGTCAAAATGAAATTATTGACAAGACATATTAAACTAGTTGCAGAGTATTTTGAATCTTTGTAGTTATCACTGGGGAAAAAAAAAAAGAAATCTTCATTTGAACACTATCACCCTAGAAAGAGCAAGAGAGCAATATTCACACACACACAAACTAGTTTTCACACTTACACTCAGTTCAGTCTCTCCCCAGATGTTTTCAAGCTTTAAACCCACATTTGATAGTCCCTATATCAAAACCCTGACCTAGTTGCCACTCAGAATTTATCCTAAAGAGCATTATTAGTGTATTTCAGCTGTTTCTGTATAAAAAGTATTTTAATCCTTGCTTTCCATCATCACGTTTGATAAAACACAGTTTGATTTACCATGCCTTTCATCAGCCAAACTTTAAATACCATCTCTGAAAACTTATTCCATCACCACTTTGCTAAAATGTTCTCAGTGATACCGCAGAAGACTTGCAACTCTAAGCACCTTAAGCAAGTGGGTTCTAAAATGCAAGCTGGTACCACCTTCATTATGATCAACCACAAGGCAATGGAAACATTTCAATGTTAATATAAGGTTTGGGATGAGGATGGAGAGGGTTGAAAAATATTTTCTGCTGGTGGGTTTCTTTTGCAAGAGTGAAAGAGGATGGTTGGGAAAGAAAGTAAGAAATTTAATGGCTTTCATATTAAAAGCTGTCTGAATCTGAACGTAGCTGCGAAAAGTCAGCAAGATGCTTCTGCTGTACACAGCCATTACCACACATTTTTCTCCCTCACCTTTCAAAATGGGATGGGGTAGAGGTGAGGAAACAAGAAAATAGGCTGCATCATTGTATCCAAGCAACCCCTCAAGGTAAAGTGAAATCTTGGTCCATATACGATGGTATGGCAACACCACCAAAGCTAGGCCACCACAGACAGAAATACTTAAGACCTCATGAAAACAAAACCCTCTCTCCTCAGTAATCATAACTGACTGAGTCAGAGAGTCAAAGGTGAAAATACAACCAGAGGGGGAAAAAAAAATCCAAACCCAAAACACCTTACTGTATGGTTATTTATTTGGCTTCTATATTTTTATATGTTTTTATTTTTTAACCACAGATACTCAAAGTTCTGTTGGCATGTACTATACAACACTGTACAGCAGAACTATTGCTAAATCCTGGATTCAGGCTGTAGAGTGAAAGGGAGCACGATGGTATTTTCTGTTCTGTAAGCCACACAGCCTTTTACAGAACTAATTTCTAAGGAAGTAAAACTCGATAGAGACCACGTTAACAAGGAAAGAGCACGCAATCCTGCTTAGAACACCAATACTTCAATACCTCTGTATAATGCAGTCCTTCTCTCAGGCCACGTGGATCCACACGGACATTGATGTGCCGACACTGGTTCATAAGCTCTAAATGACTAGGACACTGGACCCATGGTGCATTTGAAGTTAAAGCTAAGTGAAGCTGAAGAGATATTCTTTCAGTGTTTTCTGTCAAGAAACAAATTTAAAAACCAGTTCAGTCACACAACTATGTGCTCATATTCTGCTGTAACACAGTATTTGCCATTCAAATGTACACATCAATAAAATGTAATAGGAACCAATTCCTTAGGGCCCCTTGATGTCAGATTCTCCACAAAGGACAGTGTTCTATATTATTTCTTTTAGCTTGAGCAAAATAGAATGGCACTGTATAATACAATAAAGGTTGCACTCAACTTTGAATTTTCCTCCCTTGAAAGAGTCAAACCTGACAAGGTCAAAGGTCGACTAGTATGCAACACTTCCGCTGCCCACAGCACACAGTCTGGAAGCAGGCATAAACTTTACTTTGTATACATACAAAGCCTTGCTTAATGCAGACAAATACAGTAAGAACCAATTGCACTGATTCTGAAGGTTTTGTCAATTACTAAATTACTTCATAGAGCAACCTAAGTGATAGGTAAAGTCCATAAAAAAATTACTGTGACAATCCAGCCTGACTGCACAGTCAATTTAGGTGATTTCACAAATTAACTTCTATGTCAAAAAAAGCTATGGCTTAAATCACAGCTTCCAGAAAAGCATCCAACTCTAGTTAAAATATTTTAGTGATTAAAAATCAGCTTTCTCCTGCTTTAGAGACTAATGACAATTTGAAAACAAATTCCCGTGTTTTCTAGTCCTAATTAGCATGAGCTTAATTTTCAGACATTTCATTCTATCTTTGTTAAGTATAGAAATGAGCACTCTATTATCAGAGGTAATTGCCTCAAAGGTACATGAGAAGTAATAACAGCTCCCTCAACAGACAGACTGAGCAGATAAGCCTTCCTTGACCTCTTACTGAAGTTTCTCAAACTCAGTCTTATTGAAGACAGGCAGAAATAACAACCGGACATGTACCAGGGGAAACATCACGCTAAAAGCCAGTCCATCCATTACAAATGCCTGTGTTTTCATATTGTTTGTTTCCTGCAGAAGACTATTGAACAATTTTTTATTTCTCTGTGACATACGGTGAAAATTGCAATGTTAGCTGGCAAACAACTAAATTACTCTAAGTCAGTAACCTGTCCTGATTCATACACTTTCTTCTCCTAAATAAACTCACCCCTTCATCACATGCAAACCTTCTTGGGGATCACTGATTTTAATTAATCTCAGTAACAAGCTCTTGCATGGATTTTTTTTTTTTTAATAAATGCAATTCAGTGAAGTCCAACTTGGTTTTAATAAAGTAAAGCAGAGCAAAATTGATTATGGAAAAAAGATGTCAAACCTTATTTTGATTTCTGCAAGTTAGTTACTTTTACCCTGTTAGAAAGTAACTAAAACCTGTATCAATTCCTGTATTGCCTTTAGATATATTTATGTTTATTCATTATTAGCTACTGAATCTAAGCCTAGTTTGTTAAACTAAGATTTTTTATCTAAGTTTCCACAACCTGAGAAAAAGTCCAAATCTAGAATTTATAGTCTTTTAATAACTAAGAAACTAATTTCTGAGTAAGTTATATTTAGAACAGAAATCATACTTTGTTAAGAGTTATCTACAACAAAACCCCTAGAGTTCTATGATTTCATGACACATTAGGGGTATTTGATTCTTCTCCCTGGCCCCACAACTTCGCTTTAAATTTCTTCAGAACAAAGACATCCCTTTTTTCCGTGAGAGTAAGCATGAAGCAACAGACTCTCCCAAAACATGGAAATGCCACATTATAAGCCTGAGGTCAGAATGGAAAAGTTGTTTAGGTGCATGCTTTCACTTACCATGAAATTTAGAGTTGCACCTACTCCTTTTACAGGACAGGTTCCTATCACTCCTCATTATCACCGCTTTTTTGCTTACAGATTACCCTTCATGTGTCATCCCCCCTCTCCCCAGCCCCACACAGAGAAGCTGTTTCCTACCTGTATTCTCGGGAAAGACAGGTTCTATTCCAACCCCATGATCAGAAGGTGCAGCTACCTGGGCAGGGTCTCTGAGGTAGATTCCACGGTTGCTGCCGACAGTAACCGTAAAGCCTATGTTACTTGTGAATGATGAATTCTGAATGAGGTAGTCATAGGCTTTATCGACCTGTTAGAAACAACATGTTCTAAATTAGCAAATTTCAACTTAAATAGTAATTTATCCATATTATCTTCAATATGAAGTGTTCAGCAAGCACAGCAAACAGTATCTCACGTGCTGCCTGAGCCATGCTGATCGCGCCTTACACGGCACTCAGTATAGAAAACAAGGCAACATTTTCAGTCTGCAACAGCCACACAGAGCACAAGTCAAGAATATAAAAAAGAAAAAACCCACAAATCTCCTTTGCTATAAATCTATCAAAGGATGCATAACAAAAGTTTTCAGAGATGACTTCAATAGCCCAGATCTACTATAATTTACGTGCCTCTCTCATATGTGGAACAACACCAGTTGAGTATTAACACCCTTTATACAATGCAAGACACTGAGCAGTTCCAAAGAGACAAGCAATATGGGATGCCCATATAATTTTTGTATATTGGTATGAAATAAGAGAGAGTCAGGTCATGAAATACAGCCCTAGATTTAAGTAAATGAGCTGTCACAGTAAACTCAGATGACAAGTTCACCTTTTTGTTAAAAAAGCCCTTCTATCTCACTTCCTATTCTACTGACTCCAAAAATCTCACATTCTCTTCTATTTCACAGTGAGCTACTAGGGCACTCTCCTTTGAGACAAGTGGACACACAACAGCCTCAGTCTTGTAGATCAGAGTTTTAACCACATTTTAATACTGGCTTTAATCACAGACTACTAAATCATGCAATCATACAATTGGTTCATTTCATTTTTTTGTGGCAATGTTTTTATTTTTATATAGCTACTGCCATTGCTGCCTTCTGCATCAAACTCAGCGCTACAGATGTGCTTAGTGGATGTTACCTAATAGTTTCTAGCATCTCCAGAATGTGAGTTTAGGGCTAAGCATTTACTATCCAGTATCTTCAAGCACGAGAGCAAAAATCTCAGTACCTTTATTTGGCTAGGATGGGAGTGACTGCAGGCAAAAAAAGCAGCAGCTCTTTAAGAACCTAAGCTTACACACAGGAAGACTGGCATTCGCTGTCTTCACCACACAAAGGATCATATCACAGAACTCCAAGCTACTCAGAAATCACAGGATCGAACAAATGCTTTGATTTTTCAGTGTAGGCCCAGAGCAAAGTCATCGCACACCTGCAGCTGTACACTGCCTTGTAGACCAGCATGGTTATCTGTATTTTCACAGCACAGAACTTACAGTTCCAGCTTTTGTCTGCACAGAACAAGTTCAGCTCTCTAACAATAGTGTAAGAAAATTTTTGGACATTAGGACAGAATTTAGGCATCCAACTCCATATGTGGGTGATAAGAATCCACATCCCACTTCTACGTCCACACACCTTTTTGATCAGTCTAAGAATGTGTCTAGTTAACACATTTATTCTAAATAACTGCATGCTGAAACTGAAAGAACCACCTTATTCCTCCTCCCCTCCCACTAGATTCCCGTCTTCGCCCTCAATCAGATCAGACAATTTAGTATGGAAGCAAACTGAGTGAGCTCATCTAGAAAGCTGCTTTTCTGTGCATTAGTTTTCCACTGGCAGTTATTTATATTATACTAGGGTTTTTTTCTAGCAAGTACCTGAATAATACCATGTCCTTGTGCAAATACTTCTATGTTTTCAGCTTTCACTGCAGTGTTTTCTAAAGCTCTTCTGACAGAATGAACAGTGTAATGAATATCATTAGCTTTGAGTCCTGAAATTAAAAATAAGAGTATTATTGGACACAACAAAAAAATGTTAAAGTTACAGCATTTATGATTTTTTTTTAAAGAGAAAAATTATCTAAACATTTTTAGACTACGTACCTATATTTAATATTGTAGCACATTACCTGATAATACTAATGCAATGCCTCCACATGCATTGGGAGAAGACATGGATGTGCCATTCATGAGTTGTGTTCCTCGCAGAGTCCAGTTTGGAACAGAAGCAATAGCACCTCCTGGGGCACTGATACTTACTCCAAGGGCTCCATCAGTGCTAGTGTTAAAACAGAATGGTTTTAAACAAACTTTTTCTGCACACTGAAGTTATCCATGCACATTAGAAAGATAATTTTAGCTGTAGGGAACGTTCTCAAGTATATTACTTCACTAAATCCATTAACCCATTAAACCCAAGTAGTAATTTAATACATCACATTAATCATCAGCTAAATGTTCTAAACTTTTACTCCTTCCATACTTTACACCAGGCTTCAGTTTAATCAGCAAAATATCTTCTGGAATTTGTATTAGAAAATGCATAAGAACAAACCTATTAGACACTTGAATACACAAATTAGTATTCTCCATAGCCTATTTAACAGTTAATATTTTAAAAATAAAAATAGTAATAGAGCAAGACTAGAAAAAGATCCCAAATCCAGATCTCTAATTCTGCATGTTGCCACTTCACTACCAGATCAAATTTTTAGTAACAATACAGAACCTGAGACAAGGACAGCAGGAGAAGACGACACAAAAGAGAACGTTAAGAGATGGATCAGGATCAGCAGGTCCTAAGTCACCTTTCTTTCTTGCCCCAGCACATTTAAGAACAGAGTGTGCACCTACGGCACAGTTAAAGCAGCATCTAGTTTTCAACTGTATGAGCCAGATATACTCCCTCTTCCTTGCTCTGGATAGACAAATACTGCACCACTTGAATAAGCTCAGCACTGTACCTGAGCTAGTAAGTTCTGTGTAGAGGCAGGGTATTTTAGGGTATTTATATCCCATGCTAACAGCTTCATACGTCTAAGATCTGCCTTAAATCAGAGTACTCTCAGCATGATACCGGATACTATAACATAACATTCGGACAGATTTCATGACAACCCTATACAAACAACAAGTTTCCACATCATGGCACTTCTGGCCAAGCAGTGCACAGCATATCTGCCCGAGAGCCTTCATCAGACAGACTGATCGCCTGCCCCAAAATCTGCTCAGGCAAAGCTTTAGGAGCCCTCCAGTCATCCACGTGTTGCAGAAGGGGAATCCTTCTTTTGCCAGACTCAAGCCTTTCAGCTGACATATGCTCATTCTGACTATTTTACAGTGCAAGGTGACAAAGCACACAAAATGTAGTTTTTAGATATGTGTGTATGTATGTATATCAATATTAATTACAAATCTTTCTCCTTTTCTCAGCTGAAGGCAGAGACTTTTCCCTACATGAAACATGACAATTCTACACAATAAGGTTCTTGGAACAATGTACTTCCCTGTAAAAATACAAACACCATAATAGGTCTGTGAAGTTAGCTGTCAAGGGAAGCATTTGCTCTGTAACCAGCAAATAAACCAAGGACCAACCTGAATCTCTGTCTTTTATAGTTTAGCCTACAGTATTGTTGGGTGAAGGGAAAAATAAAAGACAGCGTATAGTAACTCAACGACTCGCAAGAACAATTCTTTAGACTAAACACAGGCAAGAACTCACGCTTCTGAGGCATGAAATCAGAACTGTTTTCATCACCCCTAAATTTTATGGATATTAGAGATAGTTTTCCAAAACGTGAGGTAGAAAAGCATTCTTCTGCCTACTCACACCTCTACTGGACTCAAGCAAAACCCCTCTGTAAGTTGTGCCATCACAGCAACCTCGCTGAAGCCACAAGTAACACCACTGCGGTAGTAGTATTTCTCTTAATTCTCAGCTCTAACGGAGCAGTCAACTTCACCACACTAACGATGAAATAAAAGCTATAGAAAAAAAATCCTCTGAAAAAATAAATTTCAGAAAAAGAACAAATTTCGAAACAATTTTTCAACAACTTTTATCACCTCTGAATAGGTTTGTGCTCATCAAATACACTTTCCTGAAACTTACAGGTTGTCCCAAGGCAGTTCAGTGGGCTTCCTCCTCCCCAGGACCTTCTACAGCCCAACATACAACGGCCTTCTGAGAACAGCAGGCCACCTATGCTCTTCCCATGGGAAAGAAGTACTTCTATTCTGGTATTAATGACCAATTTTTAGATTCTGAATTACATAATCTGAACCCTAAAGTAATGAACTTGTTTTTTTAAGATATAACCTACCTAGGCCCTCTGGATGACCATGTATATTGATTTGCTGGCAGTTTTTCTCTCAAAGAGTATTCAGCAACCATCATGTCGGGTGACACATAGGCACCAACACCTGTAGAAAACATTCCAGCATTTTAGATGTACAATGAATTTAATTCTATTAGCTGTCCTGAAATAGTGTCTCTCCAGCTTTCGAGCACACCTGCTAGTCTCCTTCTTGCATGAGAATTCTGAGATTTAAAAAGTATCTTGTGTAATTCAGTAATACGGCACTGGAGGATTTATATAAAAATTGACTAGAGAAGTTACCCCTGAACACTAGACATTTTGCTATGTCCTATACCTCACGTTTGATACCTATTTTGCTCTCGAACCATCGACCCTTGCCACTTGATAATATTGCTTTCTGCATTTTTTTTCTTTTGGGTAAATCAGAGCTTGTCCTAGCTGTGGATTCTACAAGTTAGAATCTCAACTGTTTGTATTTTTTACAAAATGTATTTACCAGCAGCTAGTGGTCTGAGTGAAGCGGTGTGCTTAGACAGTTACAGTTAAAAAAATAATCTTGGAATCTTCAAATATGTCAGACCACAAAGATTTCTTCCACAAATTTTACACAAAGACACATCAAATCAAGACCATCTTTCTCTTTCACAAGTAAAGTTTGTGAACTTTAAGATAATCTAAATTTTTATACCTAAGCATACAGCAGTTGCCTCCCTCAATTAATCACATAACCCAGTCTTCAATCTTTTGTAGATTTAGTTCAGGAACGAACAAGTGATCTCAAACATGTAACACAAGTACAAAGCTTGAAAAGGCAGAAGTTGAATACAATCAAATTTTTTTTCAAAACAAGTTAGTTACCTATTACACTAGATGTAGTTCCACCAGGACATCCTACTGTAGAAAGGCAAGGACCATTATTTCCTGCACTTGAAACATAGATTACATTGTGTTTCCACACTGCTTCATTAATTACTTCACAAATTCTCCTGATGTAAGAGAAAAAAAAAAAAAGGTAATTTAGTCAACAATATTGCTTTCTCCCCACAGATCAAAACTCCCATTTCTAGCAGAAATATATAAATGACCAGCCACAGAACAAGGAACGTTATGCATCCTGCTTCCCACACCTAGCAGAGATGGTTCCAGTACAGAATCTAACCACAGAAAAATATCTTCTGGTTTATGTAGCAATACTAGGTCTTCAAAAAAACCCCCACACATTATGTGGTGTTCCAACTACAAAAATTCCTTACTATTCTAAAATATTCTTTGTATTATAAATCAATAGCACTTTTTATAGGTTTATTTAACTTTCAAAGATAGTGAAAAATGTAAACTGCAACAGTTTAATGTACCTAAGTCATTTGGTCCTGGACAATTCATTCTTACTGACTGTTCATATACACAAAGTTCAACAAATGTAATTTCACTTCTGTAATATTAAAATATTTTATATTAACCACAGTAGTACTCACCCAGAATTGGGCCAATGTGTTGCCTCTCCATAGCTATAGTTGACAAGATCACATTTGTATTTTATTGCTTCTATCATCTGATAAAGTAGAAATAAAAGCCAAAATACATACTAGTCATAGAATAAGTCACTTAAGGACTGGCAAAAAAATCTGCTTAAACTGATCTGCTACAGATCTAAGAAAAAGGGATAAATTTCTTTTGACGCTACAAAAGAAAATAATTTAATTTACTTCAGTTATTTAAGTGGTATTTTCCCAGTGAACAAACAGAATAAAAAAAACACATCACTCCCTGAACAGTCTTATTCTTGCCATGTTCCAAGCTAATTAAGACATTAATGTAAGAAGAAACTAACTTCATGAGTGTTGTCTCAAGTGTCTGTCCTCAATAACGTAAAATTCTCCTTTCCTGTGCAGTTTGGTTCCACTCCAGAAAGTCACAAAAACCATTATTGTACACCTTCTTGTTGCTACAGCAAGATATTCTATGGGCTACAAATACATATGCAAATATAATTTTGCTTTCAGATAATTTTCTTCTATAAATTTTTCTCCCCCCAATCAACTGACTGTATGAAAAGGCCTTGGGCTTTTAATCATTAAAAAGGAATATTTTTCCTCACTCTTAAAAAGTGGTTAAAACAAATTCAACCACATGGATAGATACTAGTGTCTATTCTAGATTTATTGAGTTATCCAAGTAACTATTAAAAAAGTGCACTCACAACACAGATAAATGAACTTAAACATACAAGTAACTTAGCTCATGTGTCTAGCTAACCAGACACACTGCAACTCTGTCAGTCTGAAAAACCCTGTGAGTGCTCTATGAAACAGAAGTCCGGTTTTACATTAAAACGTTCATCTTAGGTTATGTTTTGAAATACATTTTGGTTGATATTGTGGGGCGTTTTTTGTTTAGGATTTTTTTTTTTTTTTTGAGAGGAGGAGTGTCTTGTTGTTTTGGGGGTTTTTTTGGTGGAAATATCCTAGAACCACAAAAACACAGCCTATGAGCAAGAAGAACACAAAGTGTTACACAGTACCCTACAGTTAAATCACACTGCTGAGATCAAATGTTTATTTGGTGAAATACCCACAGCTCTTATCAGACCAGTGCCAGTTTCCATTGTACTTAATCTTGTATCACCAATCTTGATTGCAAGAATCTGAGCTCCAGGGGCCACGCCATTTCGTTCTGGTTCTTCTGGAAAGTATCCAGCTGCAATACTAGCCACGTGTGTTCCATGTGCACCTGAACAAATGAGAAGTTACATCACTGCATGTTTAGTGAACTTCACTTACACCAATTTAATGTACCACAGTTCAATTTTCACTTATTCAGTGATAAGAATATAAATCTAGTTGGTGGCTGGTCACAAGTGGTATTCCCCCACAGCTCAGTAATGGGGCCAGTTCTGTTTAATGTCTTTACCAATGACCTGGACAAGTTTATGAAGTTCATCCTTGTGAAGTTTGCAGATGACACCAAGTTGGGTGGGAGTGTTGATATGCCTGAGGGTAGGAAGGCTCTGTGGAGGGATCTGGACAGGCTGGATCAGTGGGCTGAGGCCAATTGTGTAAGATTCAACAAGGTCCAGTACTGGGTCACAACAACCCCCTGCAACACTGCAGGCTTGGGGACAAGTGGCTGGAAAGCTGCCTGGCAGAAAAGGACCTGGGGGTGTTGGTCAAAAACTGGATGAGGGGGGGGCCCGGGGTGCCAAAGGCAGCCAATGGCATCCTGGCCCGTATCAGGAACAGTGTGGCCAGCAGGAGCAGGGAAGTGATTGTCCCCCCGTACTGGTCACAGGGTGTGAGGCCACACCTTGAATCTTGTGTTGGGTTTTGGGCCCCTCACTACAAGAAGGACATTGAGGTGCTGGAGCGTGTCCAGAGAAGGGCAAAAGAGCTGGGAAGAGCCTGGAGCACAAGTCCTGTGAGAAGCGGAGGAGGGAACTGGCGGTGTTTAGCTTGGAGAAGAGGAAGCTGAAGGGAGACCTTATCGCTCTGACCAACTACCTGAAAGGAGGTTGCAAGGACGTGGGGGTTGGCCCCTTCTCTCAAGTGACAGAACAAGAGGAAACAGCCTCAAGTTGTACCAAGGGAGGTTTAGATTGGATATTAGGAAAAGATTTTGTCACCACAAGGTTTGTCAGGCACTGGAACGGGCTGCCCAGGGACATGATTGAGTCACCATCCCTGGAGGTATTTAAAAGGCATGTAGATGTTGTGCTTAGGGACCTGGTCTAGTGTTGGTATCAGCAGTGTTAGGTTAACGGTTAGACTTGATCTTAAATGCCTTTTCCAACCTAAATGATTCTGTGATTCTATAAAATAAGACTAGTGTTCAAATCACTTTATCAAATAAATGTCATATAATATTAAGAAAAAAATCCAGTAAACAGCAGCAAGCTACAAAATAAAACAGCTTTTTGAGGGGAGGAAGGATGCAGTAGGTGGAAAAAAATAACATATTTACTTAATTTAAGTAACTTTTGTTAGTGGAATTAACTCAATTATGAAAATGATACCTGAGATAACTCCGATAGTGCAGATTAACACAAAAGTTATAAATAAAACTGCACAAAGGTATAAAAAGGAATCTCACAAAAAAGTTACCATTGATGTAGAAACCAGAACTGCTTCTGTAGTTCTGCTCAGATAGGATAGTTTAATAAGAAATTAAGAACACTTTTCAAATCAAATGAATCCATGACACCTTAACCACTCAGCATGCTTCCAAACCAAAAACACAATCATACGAAGAATACACACATATCGGTTCAAAGCAGTTGGAGCTACAGCTATAGGTGACACCTGCCATCACAAAAAAATCTTATTGAAGACTCTTAAATTATACAAGCATAAAGAAGAGCAACTAAAAAAAAAAAACCACCAACAAATCACCCTACATTTAAAACCCAAAAAATACACTTTGAAAGAATGTTCTCTACATTCTAGGCTTTAAGATGCGTGAACATCTTCAAGAGTACCTAAGTATATGCATTCTATGTATACATGCACATGAACACAAAGCTAACATCATTTCAGATAAAAATGCAAGCAAGTTTGGTAATTAGTTGCCATTATAGGTTTAGTTCAGGAGATGTGAATACTGATCTTGACTGACATAGTAAAGAATGCTGTATCAAGACAGCTGCCTTCAGCCATCCCAAGTACCAGCATCACAACCCAATTCAAGCTGCTGCTTCTCACGATACCTACTCAGCAGCAAAACTTTCTTAAGATTTAAGATCACTTTCATTTACCTCCACTTGTCACAATGGAAAGAAGATTTCCATCATCATATATATTAACGGAATAATTCAACATCTCTGATGTTCCAAAAGTTCCATATTCCTGAGCCTCTTTGTAGGTTCTCAGCACTGTACAGCTGGTTAAGTCACCAATCTCACTTGTATCTATGCAGGCTCTGTTGACAAAAAAAATAAAAAGGCCACTTTCCAGCTGCTGTAAACTTTTGGTTATCTAACCTCCACCCTCCTGCCTCCCAGCAGAATATCACAAAGACTTCAAGAAGCCTGGTTCTGTGTTCACGGTATCTGACTTTAAGTCAATATTTTAAATCTGGCTGTTTACACAAAGATTCAGAAACCACAAAGATCTCTAAAAATTATTTTCAAATGCTACTAAATTTGAATAAATATGTCTTTGAAAAGCAAGCATATGGAAATTCAGGCAATTCCTTCAAGGAAGAAATCTTAAAGCTAGCTATTCAGTGCCTGTACACAAACATCTGAAGTCTTACCCACTGTTTTGCATGACGCACATTATCAGTCAGATGACATATTACAACCTGAAGTTTGCACAAAGACTTCTAGTTTAGTGCGGTTTTATTTGGTTGGTGTTTTTTTTTATTTCTCCTATCACCAATGGATACTCAAAACAATTTTACTCTGCTTCAGGAAAATGTCACAAGCTTACACTTTACATTAAGCTGTCTTTAATAATACTTCATTCCATCCCATCTTCATTTGAGATCACAACTCTGTCATGAAACCCAAGCGATACAGCAGGATTATTTTAAAGCAAAGACTGGCTTTCCTCAAGGCCAGGCTGGATGAGACTTTGAGCAACCTGGTCTAGTGGAAGGTGTCCCTGCCCATGGCAGGGGGGTTGGAACTAGATGGTCTTTAAGGTCCCTTCCAACCCTAACCATTCTATGATTCTGTACAAGACCACTATACAGAGGGTAAAGTTAACGTATTCTTCAATGCAAGCTGTTGTTTTGTTGGTAGAACAAGACATTTAAATAAGTTTAGGCATTTACCTCCAGGTTTCACCATCATTCCATACTAGACAATCATATACTGGGCCAGGATCACTGTATTTTTTCTCAAAAGAATTCAACAGTTCCACTTGATTTTGAAGTTCTTCCTTTATTAGCTTATTTACCTGATAAGGCAACAAAAATACAGTTAGAGTATTTCTAAAATTATTACAAAGTATGTATTCCTATAGTCCTTTCTGACGCTGTGCATTTGTTCCATTACATCATCAAGAATGTAAGAGTATCCTAGGAGTCACAACCATCTAGCAGTTCAACAGTGCACTATTTACTTTTGGCCTATTACATACAACTATTTCCAATTTCTGCAACTGTAACATTTAAAGCCCTTTTTTTAAAATAGAGTGTTAGATGACACAGAAGGAACCTGAGGCACTTCTGGTACTTCACTGAAATATTACCTAGTTTAGAAAAGAAAGGATATGTTTAGAAGAGTTCAAGTTTAAACAGAGCAAGAATCACAGCGACTTATACAGACCTGGGAGGGAGAGCTATGAGCAGCATTAAATTCTTCTTGTTTTCTACAGGCCTCTGCTAGAGCCAGTCTGTGAACAGGATCCCAAAGCTTTTCCTTGCGTTCTTTCTGCAAAATATAACCAGATTCCTCAATACATTGACAAATACATTGTCAAAGTATGAAGACTACAAAAATACTTTGAAAATACCAGTTCGAGACACAACAGCTAAGAGTTCAACACGACAGTATAAACAAATGTCAGCTGCTACTCAGAAAAACAAAAAAGGGTTATCAGTAATTTCTAGACATTGTTTCAATGGACCACTGTAGGGAGAACCACCAGGCCACCTCCTGTTTTGACAAACCACAGGTAGAAATGGATCATGTCAGAACTAAACAAAATTCAGTGACAGAATAGTTCTCAAGCTCTGGCTAGCAGCCTACGTGTGTTAGCAGATCACATACCATAGTTTCCTAAAAAGTTTAGGAATCAGAATAGTGAAATATCACTATATGCCAGAAGCAAAATGTAATTCCTTACCTGAATCCTCTCCTTGAGAGCTTTAGGATAGATATCATAGCCATTTTTTATGCCAATGTGGTATTTGCCTGAAGGATTTACCCAGTTTGCTGGAATCTACAGAAAAGTATATTCAAAAGATAGGTTAACTAATGGCATCAAAAAGCAAAATCAACACTGTGTAAGAGAGCTTAGCAGAACAGACTTGCAAATATCACCACTTCAATTCCCTGTCCCTGTGACAATAACTACTACACCAAGATTCAACAACACGATGTAGCAATTTCAATCCAGTTCTTAAAAAAATAATCAGTATGAATTCACTTCCAACTGCCATTGAACATCTTTAAGTATTGGTTGCCCTCATCCTCTACTTTTAAAACATAAAGCCCCAGCAGTGACGTTTTTGGGTAGAGGTCTGGGGAAATAATAGCATTATAAATGAAAAGAAACACACTACCATGATGGGGTATGATGGTTAGAGGTCATGACAAACATCTAAATGTCTAATTACATATCTTGCTGTAATTTAGACTTTCAGTATATCAGAGTCACTAATCCTAGTAACAACAGCAAAAGACAGCAACAGATTCACCCTTAAAATCTTATTCTGTGCAAAATTCAGGAAAAAGTTGATAGCATGGAAAGATCGAAAGACATGATGTCCACATATCACCCCATCAATCCAACCAGCCAATCAAGAACATCAGTAACATCAGCAGTCCCATGTAGCCGAGAGCTCTAAATATCTCATCGTATCCTTTCTGAAAGCCTTACACCACTTCTGTTCCATGCACAGTGAGAATGCAGTGACCCTACAACTAAGTCGTCACAGATTTTTCAGCCTCTACAACCATTTACCATGCTCTTAACACAATTCCTCTAGTTTACAGAAATGTGGAAAATACTAGCTCTTAAGACAGAACTGTATCTGGTATTTTTAAAGCACGTTAGCATGCTTCCTTCAGCCAGCTTCCAAAACTGTATCAGATACGGATTAGAACAAAGAGTAATGATTAAATGATTATCAAGCCCCCAACAAAACTCAGTACACAGCCCCATTCAGCTACAGAGAAGGTTCAATATAAAGACACATCAACAGTAAAAGAAGTGTCATATAGACAAGCAATCCATATAAAGATGGGCAAATGCAGCGTTAGTTTGGGATAAGATCCAGTTAAAAGGAAGTTTCTGCAGACCAAACCAAAACAGGTGCTGAATTTGTTGTTAAACAAGAAAGAAAAAGATGCCCGATGGTGTCCCTACTCACCTTTAAAGTTCTTCCAGAAAGACCAGCAATTTCCCCATCTTTAGGTTCTACAATGGTACATGTAGTTACATCACCACTGCCTGTTGTATCAATTATATCAATTATCTTGGGTTTCCCATCAGTTGTAATCTGAAAATACGAGCACAGAAAAATTGAAAATGTAGTTGATAACACTTTAGCATACAAACCAGGAAATGTTTCATTTTTATTAATAAGAATATTAAGTAACTTTCTTAAGTACCCAACCTTTAAAGGACACAAAGCCAACTTGAAACTGGTTAAATTGTCAATGAAGTAAGAGCAACAGGTTCATCTTTCTGGTTTATACAAATTCACCAACTCATTTCTAAGAAGGATTTAGAAGACAAGTAAAATCATTCTATCAATCAAGCACAGGAGCGTCAATTTAAAACCAAGCCTCAATTTGGAAAGCCATTTGCAAAAACTACTATTTGTGTTCAAATTATTTGCTGCATTGCTTCCATCTCACCATTATGGCCAAATTTTACAGTAACGAGCGCATAAGTAGCAAAATAAAAGGTGCTGAAGTAGATGCCTGCACAAGCATGAGTCTCTTAAGTGAGCTGAAACCTAAAAGGAACACAACTTACCATCATCTTATTTTTCCTTTTTCAAGGATTCTGCTTTATGTTTTAATCAACTGAAGTGGTAGGAACTATGGTTTTATACACCTAATATGGTAAAAGGAGTAGTTTTATCAGGGTGAGGTGAAAGAGCTGACTAGCTTAGAAGAGTTTGAGCAGAAATTTCAAGCCTTCTCAAATTAAAAAAAAAACCAAACTGAAACTAGACCTGATGGACTGTACAGTACATCAAAAAAGTACCTAAATTTCCTTTTACCCAGAGAAAAGGTCTACACAATTATTGAGAGTAAGATTTTTTTTTTTTTAAGTTTAACAAAAATATTCAATGCTATCTCCTTGTAACAAAATGCTTCATCTAGTAGGTATGGTATTGAGTTTATTCAGCAAATAAATTATACTCCATAAACAGCAGTATATGCTTATAAGAGCAATATGAATTCAGAGGGCTGGAGCACCTCTCATATGATGACAGGCTGAGGGAGTTGCGAATGTTCAGCCTGGAGAAGAGAAGGCTCCAGGGAGTCCTTACTGCAGGCTTTCAGTACTTAAAAGGAGGCTTATAAGGAAGATGAGGACAGACATTTTAACAGTGCTTGTAGCAATAGGACAAGGGACAATGGTTTTAAAAAAAAGAGGCTGTATTTAGACTAGATACAAGGAAGAAATTTTTTATGATGAGGGTGGTGAAAGACTGGAACAGGTTGCCCAGAGAGGTGGTAGAGCCCAACCCCTGGAAACATTTTAAGGTCAGGCTAGATAGGGCTCTGAGCAACCTGATCTATTTGAAGATGTCCCTGACTCTGGCAGGAGAGTTGGAACTAGATGACCTTTAAAGGTGCCTTCCAACCCAAATCATTCTATGATTCTATGAATTGGCTATATGCACCTATTTTTAAGTTCTACATTAAAGATTTAAAAAAAAGAAATCAATAATCATCCCAACATCTTCTGTACGCTAACTATACTGAAAGCAAAAAAAAAAATTCTTGATCAGAAAAGCAGCAACATTTGCTGATTTCTACCACTTAAATATTTTGTATTGATGGCTTTAGTCTCCATCAATAACTCTGATGCTAGACAAAACACATATGGCAGGTAGTTTTGCTCAAATCATGCTCTGGAATTGTGAACTCAGCTGCTGGAAGTTAACACCACCATCAAGCTGTTTCATAAAAGTCACTCTGTTGCTGCCAGAAAGACAAGGGTCAAGCTTTTATTGCACCTCAACAAACAAGGATAAATACTTTCAAGACCCCAAATTCTCATGGTTAAAAAAAACCCCAACACCCCAAAAAAACCCACACAACACCACAAACACACCCCAGAACAACCCCCCTCCAAAAAAACCTCCACACAACAGAAAAACAAACATCACCTTCCTCTCTCCCCCCAAGAAAAACAGGTTTAAATAGCTGAAAAAATGACCCAAACCCAAAAATCCCAAACCTATAGGAACCACAAAAAGAAGATTAATTTCCATTTCCCAGAAGGTAACAATGCTTTGAAGAGGCTTACTAAGGAAGAACTTCCATTACAGAAACCAACACTGTCACTCTGCTCACAGAAATTCACGTTAAGAGAATTATTAAAGCACGTTAACTTGGTAAAACATCTACCGAACAACAGTTACACAGTAGTGATAATTTACTTGGGAAACACAGCGCGTAGGCACTCCAACCATATAATTTTCTAGCGTTTGTAATTAGTGCCTTCAAATGCCACTCTCCACGCACAGAAAAGTCAAGAGTAAAACTGTTCCAGTAATAAAGCAACTGCAAGCCAAACCTGAGATTATCAGAACCAGACATTTTGCAATATGCCTCTAATTATTCATTATATTAATTATTTCATGATCAAAGTACAAGAGAGTAAGAATGAAAAAGTAATCCAAGGTGACTTGCTTGAAGCACAACAAGTTACAGTGCAACAGGTGGCCAGAACAGATTTATGCCCTAGCGACCTTGGGTGGTTTTAAAAGTTGTTTCCTCGCCAGGAAGATGATGTGCAGCTCCTACACCAGACGGCTCTTTGCCTCCTAGCTGAACAGCAGCTCCACCTGTGCACGCGAGTCTGTACAACTAGAACCAACGAATCGCAAGCTTTCAGACATAAGAAACTCAAGAGTTTCAGGTGCAAAGGTCCAAGGTTCAATTCCTAACGGCAGCGATCCAGACAGGTTCACAGTCATTCAGTGCAAGTAACCGATATGGATTCTGCTGACCTGAACAGCTGTTTGGCACGCTACCCCCAGGGGTAATGCCACAGTGAAACTCAGAGTTCAACTGGGTCTTTTTTTCAAGACTTATTATTGTCTTATTGTAATAAGAATTACAATAATGTGAACGTGATCAATTTCCTTCTGTGAACAGACAAATCCTGAATTTTTTACCGACAGAAGGTAGGGTTTAGTACCCTTCACATTAAAACTCAAAACAGAGAATTTTTGTAACATTTAAATTTACAACAAAATCCTCAATTCTACTTTTAATATCATGGTTTGTTACAGCCACTTGAAAAAAATTAGTAAAATAGGCTATTAGCTTATTACTGAAAATAACTTCATTGTTTAAAAAATTTAGTTCAAAGTTTGAAAAACATGTACTTCCATGTTAGCTCTGACTTTATAAAACAAATCAGTCAACTGAGCACATTAAAAATAATCTATCTGCATAATCCTGGCAGCTGATCAGTGCAACAGAAGTAGAGGAGCGCCATTATCTGTTACAATCCCAAATTAAAAAGCCAAGCCAAATGCATTTGTGAACGCTTTTGCCAGACCCTACAGTGTTAGTGATCCCAACTGACAGCGATCACAGCAACGAGAGTTTGAACAAGTTCTTCAGCACCTGAGTCACAGGACAGCTGATGCATCATCACAGTAATTTTCAAGCAACTTTTTTTTTTTTTAAAAACTCAGTGCTAGAAAGCAAGTCAAACCAAACGAGCTCCTACTGCTGAATGGTTGTCTCAGAAAAGTACAAACCAATTTTAGTAAGTAATAATTCCAACAGGCACTTCACAAAAGGAACAGAATTGCAGACAAGCAGAGGAATTGGCTTGTAACAAGAAGCAACAGTGTCAACAGGGAAAGGACAGGGTGGGGCTGAACAAAGGCTACACATACACAACCACAGTGCTCCAGTAAACTTACCTATCTGCCCACCCAAAATTTCACCAGGTACTGTGCCTTAATGAGGAATTGGAAGCTGTGATTTGGCAGATAACAATAGGAAATATATTGTACCAAGAGGGCTGAGAGGGGAGAACACTAGCATGAAAGAAACAAACTGAACTTCACAGTTGGCATCAACAGGTGGAGTGTAAAACAAGGGAAGAGGAGGTGAAAAATGTTTCCGCGAGGGCACTGGCTACAAAATATTCAGAAAGAAAAGGAAAGTAAGTACAAGTTAGATTGACATTTTATGTGGCAAAGCAAGCCAACCAATAGAAAAATGAAATTGATGTAAGGTTGTGTGTTAAGCCCCGTTTGCCCTGTAGCAGCAAGTGTCCAGGGAAGAATATAAACATAATGGTACTTCCCTGTTACACTGTCACCAAATCTTTGTCCCTCAGCAAGTGATGGCGTGCCATAGGTTTATGGCAACAGTGTTTACAAACCAAAGTAGAACATCAGCAAGCAAAGGAACCCTACACAGGAATGAGACACCAGGGAGCAGCCAAACACAAAGTGGTTTGTTTTGACTAAAACCCCCACTGTATTCAAAACAGGGTAGCTCATTTTGGCCTATAATCATTACGGACATTAACTTGAACCCAAAGTTGTAACACCCATTAACGCTGTTACACATAATGCCTTCTCTTCTCCCTAAGCAAGTGACTCAATTCTCACAGTTCTCACTCCATGCCAGGCTGAGAATGGAAAACAACATTGACAGCAAGAAAAAGCAGCAGCAGACAGGCGCACTTAAAAAAAAAAAAATTGTCCCAAGGTTAAAAACTACTTGTGACAGTTACTTCATTATCTGTGCCCAGGACATTGCCTTATTCCATGGAGGCAAAATGTAAACTGCTCAATACACCAGAGTGAAGACACCCTCTTGCTGAAAAAACAACCCTACACATTTACAAAGCTATTCGACAGATGCACCCTGTGTACAATAAGCCTCTCCATTTGGTAGTCTAGCCAATAGCCTAAGTCAGGTGTATCAAGTGAGCAGTGTGGAAAGAGCACGCAGCTTCTTTACACGTCTCTCTAGCATCCCCACAAACTCACTTTCACCCATCGCAAGGTAATTTCCGACCCCCTAGTCCTCTACAAATCTTTTACTTCACTACCTGAAATTTCATCCTCCACAAAGAAAACAGGGTGAAGAAAATTGGTATGGTTAACACTAAGATCATGAGGTTTCGTAAATATCCCTTATGAACCCTGAAATACCTATTGCAGAACAAAGCTTCCCTCTGCTGCCCTTAAACTGATGGTATTTTGGCTGACCACTCCTCACTTACAAACTCTAGAGAGATTTAGGCTTTTTGCTTTCCTGTGTGAAAGTTCAGAACTAT